AGGACACCAGGGAGGTGCAGGTCATGGCCACGTCTCCTCCAAACAGGACACTGTAATCTCAAGCTTTTGCTCGGGTTTGTGTCTCATGCCCTCCCGCGCCTTGCCAGGGCCCCGGAGCCTCTTTGGAGGATGCTCTGTGGATCTGCCTCTTTCCCGACCCTGCCCGGGGTCTGAGCTGGCTCTCTGGTGGAAGAGGAGACCTGGAGGCTACTTAACTTTGCAGCCAGATCTGACAGGATCTCTCCTCAAGGCAGGAGAGGACATCGGTTTAGGGAAGGACTGCGTCTGCCTGCAGCCCCGGCACGGGGCTGGCCCCTGGTGCCAATGGGGGCCCATCTCTGACCAGGTGATGGATGCCCTAAAACCACAAAGCTCAGATAATCACCCTCAGAGGTGCCCCGTTTCCACCCTGGGAGGCCCATCTTGGTGCCAGGGTCAGGCCGGGGGACGCGACCGCACTGTTTGCCCTGGGAGGTGCACGGCCTGGCAGATGCTCCCCCCCATCGCGCACATCCAGCTCAACCCGTACACACACAAAAGGGAGAAAGAGTTCCCACAAAGCCAGGCGCTGAAGACAAAACGTCCCCTGCAGCGACTGCCACAGCGAGGACGAGCTCAGGGGTGGCCGAGGCAGCTCTTTGGGGAGCCCTTTTGGGGGCTCCACTGCCCTGGGCCCACCCTTGCCGAAGAAACAGGAAGGGGCCGGGAGCACCGCGCCAGCCGAGCTGCGGGAGCCTTTGCACCGACAGCACCTTCCCCTGGGCCCCAGGACGCTCGTTCCCAGCCTCCTTCCTTCCTTCCCCTCCCAGCCTCGGCGCAAAGCGGTATTTTCATCACAGGGGCAGGATTTCTTTCTGGCCGCTCGCAGACCTTCCCTTGTGGAATCGCCGCCCGGCACGTGGGGCACCGCCACGGCCCCCCGTGCCTTGCTCCCTGTCGTTTGCCATTGAGGTGGTCGGTGTGGGATGGAGGGCGCGTGCGTGTGCTGCCTTGTAAACAGCACCGTTACTCCTGGGTCCTTGCTCCAGGGAAGGAGCCAAAGGTGAGTAATGAAAGGAGGAGGAGGGATGCGCTGGCATCCCCTCCTTCCCGGCCCCTGCACCAGCGAAGGACCAGAGGGCAGGACCGGGGACACGGAGGCAGCCCTCGCTGCTGGCCCCTGCCCACGGCGGAGGACAATTCTCAGTTCACTTTTTTGCTGCGTGGGTGACCTGAATTCGGGTGGGCAGCACACATGGGTGCAGGCAGCAGCTTTTCTCCCCCCAGCAGTGTCCAGCTCAGGGGGCTCAGGGGTACAGACCATCTGTACCCAGTTACCCTCCATCCCCCCTTCCCTAGCCCAGAGGTGCCCTGCACCCCCTTTACCGATGGAGAGGCTAAGGGATGTGACCAAGGGCAGGCAGGACCCCGAGTTCATGGCCAGCATCCTTCTGGAGCTCCCCTGAGGCAGATGTCGCTGGGAAGGAGATGGATGTGCAGCGGTAGGAACGGCTGCCTCCA